AAAAAAAAAAAAAAAACCTAAAAACTTGCAAACCCATCAAATCAGAAGTAGGCAAAAGTCAGTACAAAAGCTCATCTGCATTTCTAAGGCGTCCATCACCATGGCATCTAGGTACCAATATATCATTTTAGAAGTAACCAACAGTCCTCCCTTGCTCCCTCACAATTTTAGTTTGAGCTGCTCATGTATCAGGCACTAAATCTAGATGGCTTAATTGAGGAATAAAATTTGATCTGATAGTATCCCTTTAACTGAAAGTGTCATCTCTAGAGATGAAAAAAAATTCCTAGCACCGTCCACATTGGCAATGTGCCTGTGAGAGAGCGGCATGCTGCTTAGCCTTGCTCAGAGCAGGTGTGCTCCAAAAGGCATGATCACCTACGTTCTCCTGGGAGCAATTTGGTGTGTGAATGCATGGTGTGTTGCAGGCACGTTAGGGGCACCAAGTCATTAGGAGCCAGATGTTTCTAGGGCGGACAAGGCCTCAAAGTGGCTCCCTGAGGCATATGACAGTCAGTTAAAATCAGTACGGCAGATCCTGTCCTGGGTTGTACAAGTGCTTTGGCAGAAAGGAATCATAAGTGTCTCACTCCAGCTGCATCTGTGCCAGATTCCTACCGAGGGCTTGAGGGAGCACAAGGAGGGCAAACCGCCACCGCAGCTGCTGGCACGTAAGAGCCAAAAGGAGCCTGCTCTGCAAACCAGGGCGTTTACCCAGGTCCCCAGCCCGTTAGCTCCTGAGGTGATGAATGCTGGGAGCGGCAGTAAGGCTCACCTAGCAGTACGCCCTCGCTCCCAGCCTGTCCTGACATGCTTTGCCTTCCGCAGCCAGGGTGGCTCTAGGCCATATGTGTGGCGAAGTTTACTGTACCCGAGCAGCTTCCTCCTTAGTGAGATTGCGTGAACCTGGTGAGAGTTTCCGTGAGCACGGATTGCAGGACTGGCCTGAGTCAGAGCATGTGGACTCTCATAGGTTGGCCTCTGCTTGCAAACTGCCCATCTAATTACCATGCAATAAATCAGTAACAATAGGGATATGAAACAAGAGGTTTGGGCTACCGCTGCCTCTCTAGAGAGCTTGCAGCTCCCAGCTTCTTAAGGCTGTTCCAGTCCACGGCTGTCAGCAATAAGCTCCGCAATTCCTTCTTCCTCACACTCCTTCCTCCGGGAGTAATCGGGTGCGCGATGGACAAGGACCAAGGTACCTGTACATTTTCCTTTAAGATGTTCTGTGAGCTGTGTCGTGTCGAATCTTGTTTAGATTTTGAAAAAATACAGCAGGTCTGGGGTTTGCGGGGAGACCGGGTGTTTTAAATGTGGAGAAGGAACTTAAAAGTAGCAGATATTAAATACTTGAGACAAAGTAATATGCTATTGACTTAGGCTTGGTCTACACTACCCCCCCTAATTCGAACTAAGGTACGCAACTTCAGCTACGTGAATAACGT